CTGTTAAGACCAGAGAGAGACAAAGAAAAATGGAGGAAGGCGATGGAGAAGCATTTAAAACCAGATCAGTTTGTGTGCAACTGCATACTTTTTTTGGGGGTGTATTGTGCATTTATAATTCTCACAACTCTATTCATAAATGGGAATGCGTGTCAGCTTCTGAGTGAAGAAGATTACGGAGCGATCTTCTTTGCTTTAAGTAATCTGCTCTGCAGGGAGCCCGCAGTTAGCAGTGTCTTCTGCTTTTACTTGTCTGCGCACAATCTGTAAGCTCCTACAATTGTTCTTACTTTTAAAAGACGTTCATAATTCCTACTTTTCTTCTTTTCATGGCTTTGGTGCTTTTCAGTGTCTCTCTACTTGATTAGCTATTGGAGCCAACAGTGGCAGTCACATTTTTAGCACAGTCTGCTGCACTCCTACACAAGTTCATTCAGTTATCGCAAAGCCACTTTTTTTTTCTTTCCCCCTGCAGCTCTGCAGCCGTGCACTTAGTGCTGCGAGATGTAAGATTGGGCCTGTTCCCCTCTCGTGAATAGCAGGTGGACAGTCTGTCAGCTCACAGCCATGCCTGCTTTGCTTGGTGTGTATCCAACTGTGTGGTTAGCAGGTTCAGTCAGCACATTTTCTACTTGTTCTTCCAAGCAAATAAGGTTCAAATGTGATTCAGCCAACTCTGTGATTCACAAAGTCACAAATCCGATTTTTCGGTGCTGAATAATAATAGTTAGACTAGTGAAGTAATGCTTTGTTTGTGGATTTGTTCTCTTGGATGCAAACTGTTGTTTTTTTTTTCATATTTATTATTCATAGAGAATCTGGCAAAGACATTTTATATGATATTATAACAACCAGTGCAGCTTGTTGTGCCAATCCGTCACTTTAGGAGTGTGAAAAGGTGACAAGTTGTAGAAAGTAGTAGATGTAGCTATAATTGGTGGGGATTTGGGAAAAGCAGTGATTGCAGAAGAGTTTAAAATTAGGAGCATGAAATCTGTAATGGCCAGTCCTAAAGCAGACGGGTTTAGATTCGATGTCAGGCAACTATCACCATTTGCAGATCACATTCCAGTTTATTCACACCTATATCATTTGGGATAGATATAGAGGCAAGGGAAAATTAACATTTATCTCACATTTTAAGGCGAAAGGATTACCACAGTCAGCCGTGCTGCACACAAACCTTGAAACATAATTTTTTTCCACACGAATAAATTCTGCAAATGTTAAAAAATATCCTGAAACACAAGAGAATTTGGACATAAAGTCTACTCCTATTTAACAGGTGGAAACACAAGAAGTCAAAAGAGGATAGATGTAATACAACTACAGCTCAGAAAACTGGAACATTGTGGAAATGTTTAATATGTTTTCCAAATATTATGCAGATTCATTAAACATCGACTGAATTAGAGCCCTTATTTTTTATTTTGGTATCTATGACGTGTATATCATGAAATCCCCAAATTTACCTCATTAGAAATTTACCAAGCAATACTTATAGCATTTTTACATAATTTAGTCATAATTTAGTCTGTATCATAGATTTGTGCAGCTGCAATTTCTTGGGTGAAAAGATGCAAAGCTGATCTAGTGTAAATAGCAAAGTTGTAACACTATGAATAGTGTTTACAAGAGACAAAGCAAAACAAAAATGTTTTTGATAAAAAGTGATCCCAATATTTTTTTTATTTAGATCCAACTACATCTAACTTCATAGCATTTGAAATGTCACTGAAAATCTGAAGGTGGTTTATTTGCCCTGCAGATTGTATCCATCTTCTACAATATTCAGTTCATTAAACAAGACAACATAATTGCTGAGTCACTAAACACATATTGGCTTTAAACGTTTGCAGTTATTTATTTATTTTTTCAAATAAAATCCATCTTTTGATAAGTAGTTGGTTCTGTAATCCAACAGATTATGCATCAGTGCTATTATCAGTCTTGGCTTTTGATTCGGTTCTTTCCGTCTGTCACATTCTCTTTCACCGTTCGACGCTCCAAATTCCTCACAGGTCCACTAAACCTGCACCTTGACCCACAGCAGAGCTGTGAGGTGGCTGCAGGACAGAGGTGAGCAGAAGGCCAGAGGGGCTTTAAAGGAGCAGGGAGACCTCTGACCAGGCCACTGCTGCCGCCTGACAGTCAGAAAACGTCGCACTAACACTAAATTATGGCCATGCAGCTTCCAAAAGACTGTGTGTGATTTAGTCCATCACAATACTGCAAAGCAGCCTTCTTTTTGCTTTAATTTTTTTAAACTAATGATTTAAAATTATGTAGAATAATAACAAACAATTGTGTGATGGGACATATATCTTTTTCACATGTTTGACTTTTATAATGACCTTTTCCACCAGTTTGATGTTGAGCAAAAGCACAAAAAACAATAAAAAAATAAACAAACAATCAAACTGTGTGAGAATAAATGGCCGCAAATCGTTTGCTTTAGCTGACCAGACTGTTTACAGATGTTGTCGGGTGTAATGTGAAGGACATGAATTACCTAGATTATCGGTTCAGAGGTAAAACACTAACATTATGACTAGCTTCAGCTGACATGCTCGCCACCCTGCACACAATAAAAGTTGGGAATGGTTTTGTGAGCTGTGAAAAGCTGTAATTACCAACCTTCTAATCATCTGCTTACCAGCTGGATCGGCAGGCGTACGTACAGGCTTCGCACATCTTACAATGCCCAGGAGACCCAGCCTCTTATTTCCTAACCTGTCAGTGCATAAGCCTTTTTACCCACACAGTCACTGAATCTGTAGCTGTAAATCTATGCATGACATCAACTGGTTTCTGTTATCATTTGTCACAGCATAAGAAAGAATCTTCAATACGCAATGTATTTTCCATGCAATGTGCAATTTCTACTTTCAATACAAACATAAATATATTGTATTGGGAATTGTTTTCCTAATAAATGACAAATAGATCAGCACAAATGGAAAAGGAATGAATTTATTTTCTGCATTCCTTTGAAGCTCAGACTGGTTCAAGTCTCTTCGATTTGCTTCTACCAACATCTTATTGAAATCGTTCAAGATTGTTGTCCTGTTGAAAGATGAACTTTTGACCCCGTCTCAAGTCTTTTGCAGCTGTAACAGGTTTACTCCCCTGTAATTAGCTCAGTTTGTCTCCCTGTTGATTCTGACCGTCCCTGCTGCATCAAACAGATGTTATGGTGATGTTTTGTTTAAGAAGATGTTCTCTGTCAGCTACTTTCCACCTTTAGCATTTTCACATGATGGACAAAAAGTTTAATTTTGATCTCGGCTTGTGCAGACATGAATTTGGGTCACTTACTTTCTTCATAATAGTCTTTCATTCAAGCCTTATGACAAAGTGATGTGGATGGATTATCTCACCTGAGGTGTGCATCTCTGCAGCTCCCCCAGAGCTCCGCTTTGTCTTCGGAAGACGGATTGAACTGTGCTCTGCAAGACGTTCCAAGCTTGCGATGTAGTCTTACTGTTTGTTGGCGTCTTCCTTGGTCTCCATGTTCATGAATGTTTCCTAACAAACCTCTGAGACCTTTTCGGATGTCAAAATGAATACAAATGTAAGCAGCTTTGTTAGAACAATTTTGAAAAGCGCTTATCATTTCCACTTGTCTGTCTCTGTGTTTGCCTGTAACGCCTCAGTCAAACCTGTAAGGCAGCAGCAAAATAAAAATTGTCATCATCCGTCTCTGGGACATGATTTCTTGCCATCTCTCTTTCATCTGCTGCCTTTAGCAGCTGGCCGGTTGAAACTGGCAGACGCACAGAGAGACAGCAGACAGACGGCTCTGTTTGGAAAGTTGCTCTTTGAAACAGATACTTATTCATTTTAATGTTGGAAAAATCTGTAGCTCTAAGCTTTAGATCTTGTTGTCCCGAGCTACCACAGGTGGAATGTTTAATATGCAGTCATCAAATATATCGAACCAGCACCAGCCTTTAGTTGGAGCAGGATGATAAATAGAACCTGCTTCACATTTATTGTAGCAGAGATGTTAGAAAACAGTTTGAATGACTTTATTATAGTTGGTACTAGCTAAATAATCTACATGAACTCCCCTATCTTTAGTCTAATCCCTAGTGCGTATTGCTCTGAGTAAAAAGCAAAGTTATAACTCACATTCCCTGCTGTCAGCATTCTCTTTTATAGCTTTTCTTCACTTGCACATAAATCTCATTGTCAGCATGTTTTGGATTGTTCTCCGTTATTTCTGTAGAGCAGAACGTTATCTATAACACAACCTTAAGTGGATCCAGTCATTTTCAGGATGTAAGACTGAGAGGGATGACAAGATAAGCTTTATTGAATTATAAAGCATGAACTAATTCTGTGTGTGTGTTTCTTAGATTGTGGAGGCATAAGTTATAAAGACCAGATAAATGCTTGATACTGTAAATCAACATAAAATCAAAAAAATAGGCAAGGATATAATCTCCTAGACAAGCAGTACATTTATTTTCTCTGTAAATCTACTATTCTTCCTTCTGTTTCTCTCAGTCCTTTTTCCTTCTCCCTTTCCTTGATGAATCTAGAAATGGATATTTGGGAAAATATGGAATTTTAAAACAAAAGATGTAAAAGAACCCTGAGCTTCATGCAGTGACGTAATAGAAGTACCACAGTTTTAATCTCCGATTTGTAAATAAATACTGTTCTAAATTTTGTAATCAATAATAGATAATAAATAGGCATTAAATTTTGACTGATCAAAATTTTAGATAGAAGTTTTTATTCAAACTCTTAAATATAAAACTTTTCAAGACAGTGAAAGCACTCACTGTATTATTTGAATTTTAAACGTGTGCCTTTAAATCTAAATTCAACAATAGTGACTCATTTGAGTTAATTGATATTTTTAATTTTCTTAAAATGTGATAATGTATAATTTTTTTGTTTCAAATAATTAGGCCATCTGTTTTCTATTTTATCATAAGTTTGACTTTATGAACCTGCTGGGGTTTTTTTTGTTTTGTTTTTTGTTTTAGCAGATCTGTTTGTGTGCCACACCGCCGCCATTGCAGATATCGTGATCCTGGTAGACGGCTCATGGAGTATTGGCCGGATCAACTTCAAGCTGGTCCGTATGTTTTTGGAAAACCTGGTCAATGCTTTTGACATTGGCATTGATAAGACCAGGATAGGTGGGTCCCAGTTATTATTTTTTAGAGATTTAGAAGCTGCATGATCCTCTGCATTGTCTCTTTGCACAGGTCCAGTTTAATTTTTTTGTGTGTGTGTGCTTTGTTTGTTTCTTATGTAAACCCTCTATATCAAGATCTTCAAACCTAGAGCCAGACAGGCAAATTTTAGATGTGTCTCTGCTTCAGCACACCCGAGTCAAATAATCGGGTCATCAGTACAAATCTGGAAAAAATGATTGCATACCGAAGAGCTGATTCAGGTGTTTTGGACCAGGACACATCTAAAAGTTGTAGGCCTGAATTTCAGGATTCTAGCTCTGTATCATTATTGGCACCCCTGGTCAATATCTGCGTAAATAAAGCAGCATAATATTAAACTAAAAAAGTGACGTTTGAAGATTTGACTCTCTTACCTTCTTTTTCTTACTCTGTTTTGTCAAGTTAATTGTGGCTCTTCATCCAGCCTTGTTTCTCATAGGATGAACTGTTTTGTATTTTCTAGTTCTTACTCGAGTGTAATAACTTGTTAGCAAGTAGCTAACAAGGTGTTACTTGCAACTAGCTAGCAGTTTGTTGCTAGTTGCTACTTGTTAGCAGATAGTTATTTGCTGTCAAAAGTAGACGAGTAGCAACTTTTGTTATCATTTCCTGACTTATGATGATCAACACAAAACTGCCTTACTAAATTGGCATGTTTCCTTGTCTTTCTCATGCTAAAGAAAGGCTTTAGCATGAAATTCTGCAGTAGAATTTCTTTTACAAATTACTGAATTAGTAGTTAAATATTCCAATAAAATGACAAAATATGCTTTCTACACATCTTTTGCTAATAGGGTTCTGTAAACCAGTGATTGGGTTTACAGTAGCTGCTGTTGTCTGTTTCCAGGCCTGGCCCAGTACAGCGGAGATCCCAGGATAGAATGGCATCTGAATACTTACTCTACGAAAGAAGCTGTCATTGATGCAGTGAAGAACTTACCGTATAAAGGAGGAAACACTCTCACAGGTACTGCTTAGTTATTAAATTACTACTGGGATCTGCTTCAAAAGTGCCTTTCTGGTCTGTTTCATTGAGTTTTTAATCTGTATGTTCCCATTTTTACTTTAAAGTCTTAACAAAAAACTTTCACAGCACACCACCCCGTGCAGATATCATCTCTTCCTTGTTTTAGTTATTTCTATGGGAGATTTTTTTCTATTATTTACAATAGCATTTGCCAGTGAACCTTTTTTATTCACTTATGTTTCTTATCTCCTCCCCCTTTTTTATCTCTTTAACACTCTCAACAGGGCTTGCATTGAATTTTGTCTCAGACTACTGTTTCAAGCCCGAATCTGGCTCACGAGTCGGTGTACCAAAGATAGGGATTCTCATCACAGATGGAAAATCCCAGGACGACGTTGTACCCCCAGCAGAGAGCCTGCGAAAAGCTGGCGTTGAGCTGTTTGCTATTGGTGAGAACAATTCTGCCACAGCTTGTCAACGACCCCTTTTCTGCTCCTCTAAATTGAGATTTTATTTTTTCAGACATTACTGACCTGCTGTGCTAAAGTTTATTCATCAAGACGGTGTCCGTTTGGGCTAAAAATCTGACTCAGAAAGTCAAACATTGCTTCTGCGGTTGACTCTTTTCCAACAATGACATGTCCTTTACTCTCGTAGGTGTAAAGAATGCTGATGAGAACGAGCTGCAGTCCATCGCCTCAGAGCCGCATCACACTCACGTCTACAATGTAGCTGACTTCAACATTATGAGTTCGATAGTCGAGGGACTGACAAAGACGGTGTGTGAACAAGTGGAGCTGCAAGACAAAGACATCAAGCAGAGTAAGGAACAGGGAATGAAAGGCAGAGAGTCTGCAGAGACCACAGATAAGGGATTTTGTGGTGGCATCCAGAATAATAACATCACCTTACATAAACATTAATTCCAAATATACGAAGGTCAAAGACAAGTTTATCAGTGTGGCACTGCTCAAGCTCAAGTTAATTTGAATCACTTCACAAAGAGGCAAAATGTAAGGACAGAGGTAAAGGAAATTACATTAATAACTAGAAATGATCTGCGACAGACTGGCGACCTGTCCAGGATGTACCCCGCCTCTCGCCCGGAACGTTAGCTGGAGATAGGCACCAGCACCCCTCCCGACCCCACTGAGGGACAAGGGTGTTCAGAAAATGGATGGATGGATGAACTAGAAATGATCAAGAATAAAGATAAAATAAGCACCACATTAAAGGAAAGCGTTTGCTGCAGATGTAACATAAATATGATATGCAGATAGGGTCCTTGATCCTTTTGCATAAACTGCAGTAAACTGTAAATTGTTTCGTTCTTATTTAAAGAGGCCAGCAGATTCTGCACAACTCAGGTTTATTGTATAGATCAGGAGCACAGAAACCGAATGGTATTTTTTCTGATTCTGCACCTAAATATGCTTGCATTGCTGGAAAGGCAGTGAAATAATTATTTCACCCGAAGAACTCTTTGCAAAATACACAAGTGCAGAAAATAAATGGGACATATTTTCTTTTTACTGCAGGTATTAAAACAAACAAAAGTCTGTAAACTTTTGTGTACTAGAATTGTGTTTGACCATAAATGTCCTCACCATTGCATAAAGCACTGAATGTCGTGCATTATTTTTTCATTCTTCCACCTTGTCTTCATGTTTACATATGTATTATGTTCAGAATTTACACCAGAGAAAATGGAAATGCCGCTCAACCTGGAAACCTCAGAGGTCACAGCGCAGAGCTTTCGGGTCTCATGGAGTCCAGCAGCCGGAAACGTGGAGATGTACAGAGTGGTTTACCACCCGGCTCAGGGAGGAGAACCTCAGGAGGTAAACGCCACGTTGCTTTATGAGAACATCACTATATATAATGAGTTATCTTTTTGTTGTGTTGCTGCAATTAAGAAATTGCTGCCTCATTGCAGACTCTTTGATTGTGTGTAGCTTTGTCTTGTAATCTGTGGCTGTAGCATGTGTGGAATTGGAAGGAGAAACCTTGACCTGGTAGAGTGAGGACGGGCGCTGCGCTCTTTAGTTTTTCTCTGACATGTTGATGGTGTTCTTCATTGGTACCTCTTGTATCTCTCCATTTACATTAACCTGTTTGTTAGTACAGACTGTGAGTGCACACAAAAGCTGATAGTCCTGTACATGCGGGCGCTTGTTTGCTCCCTGAGCAAAACTTAGTACATCCAATAGACAATAGTATTTTCTGTCTAAACCTTGTAAAAGGGTGAAATAATGTCTTCTGACTGTGGTAGTAAGTTTTTTTTTTTTATCAAATACATAAACGTTTAGGGATGCACTGATGTAAAAAATTGAGCTGGTATTGATATCTAACATAAATATTGTTAGATCTTTATGTAATGCTGTAATTCCTCCTCATATAGTGCATACTATCCCCTTCTTTCTATTTTAATACATCAAATATACCCTCCTCTGCTGTTTTCTGCCTACGCCTCCCCTTCCTCATTGCCTTTTCATTTCCATACTTTTGTCCCTTTCATCCACCTTTCCTGCTTTGACTCGTTCTCCTGCACACCAGGCTGTCGTGGCTGGCAGTGAGACTTCAGTGGTGTTACAGCATCTCAGCTCTCTCACTGAGTACCAGCTCGCCGTGTTTGCTGTGTACACGGACGAGGCAAGTGAAGCTCTGAGAGGATCAGAAACTACCTGTAAGTTTAGTTTTAGACATATGCAAAAAACGAAAAAAAAAAAAAAAGTCAACACCTTAGAAAAGAGATTAGTAACAAAGTCTATGGCAATGCAGATTTTGTTTTTAGGATCTTCCTTTGTCGTTTTGTAAAATTTAATTTAAAATGCATGCAAACTGTTGAATTTTATCTTATATGAGTTTTGCAAAACTCTAAAGGCCTAATCTTGCTTTCCTCTCTTACAGTAAGACTTGAATCGGAAAATAAACATTAATCATTTTTGTCGTTGTTCAACACCTGGTTTCAAATATTGTTTTATTCTTGTTCAGATGTCCTGCTTCTGTCTGTCCGTGTGTGCAGTGGCTCTCCCGTCAGTCGCCAGCCTCCGGCTGTTCGATGCGACTCACAGCACAGTGAAGGCCAGGTGGAGCCATGTGGATGGAGTCTCAGGCTACATGCTGCTGTATGCTCCTATTACAGATGATGGAGATCTAAACAACGAGGTCGGCCAAGAAGCAAAAAGCTGAGAATGCAAAGTTTTTTATAAATTCTCCAGCAAAGTTAACTTTCTAAATTTGTTTCCAAGTGTTGTCCTCAGATTAATGTAGCTGATGGCGTAACAGAGGTGGAGCTGGTTGGCTTGACGCCTGACACTGAATACTCCGTCACTGTTTATGCTATGTATGGAGAAGAAGCAAGTGACCCCAAAACAAATCGGGAAACAACACGTGAGTAATGCATATGCCCGCTCGAGCAAACTGAGATTTATTGTGTTTTGTTTTGTTGGTTTAAGTTTGACCCCAGTGTGGTCTCGGCATAACATTCTGGGCTTCGATTTAAAAGCTGAAAGCAACATCTAACTCGGTCTGCAATGAGCGAAGTCTCATTAACAAAATATATGTTTCTGTCAGTCTCATAAATTGGAACAAAATCTATCCTAAGGGTAATTATTTAACATAATCACTGAGCCCTGCATGCATATTTTACCGAAAGGAATGAGCGGATTACAAAACTTTTTTTTTTTCTCAGAATCACAAAGTCAAGAATTCAATTGAAAATGAACGATTATATGAGACCAGGCTGCAAACAGAATCAATAATTCATCTATTAGTAAACACACTAATATGTTTCAGTGAGTCAATAAATGTAAAAACAGAACATAAATAAACTTAAAGTAGAAACTACTTAGAGAAGTTCTGAAGTGAATTGAGAATTGAGTTTCACTGGGTGAATAAAGTAATTTTCAAGAGTGTATATCAAGGTGCGTGTGTCTCACTCTCTCTCTTAAAGGTAAATTCAGGGTTTTTACACATAATTTGTACTTAAACTCAGTTTTAACCAAGTCAACCTAAACGTGATAAATTCGACTGGGGTTCTTCTTTGACGGTTCTATGGCTCAGCACTGCAGCATGCACAAGCTGCCCCACTGTGATGTCATCAGGCATGGAGGAATTCATGCCACATTATCACCGCCAAAGATGAAAATAAACTATTATTCTTAAACCTTCTCTGTTTTCATTTTGGAGGTTATACTTATAAAACATTAGAGGATGTTGCCAAGTGGCAGAAGTCGTCATGTATTAAGAACAGGGGTGCAAATGAGCAGAATTGGATCATTCCCAATCATACAAATTGTACAACAGCTTCACAGACATCAGCTTTGCATTTGTAGTTTGATAAATGCAGACTCATCTGCAGGCTAAAAGATTCATTTTGAGTCCCTGTAATGTCATGATGAAGGCGTCTTCAACAGCCTTGGGTATGGAAGCATGTAAAACATGTCAGATGTCTTTAATGCTGTTATATTTGCTTTATTTTTTTGCCAGTACCTCTGAGCCCTCCCAGGAACCTCCAGTTTTCAGACATCACTCATAACTCTGCCCACATCAGCTGGGACTCACCGCCTGATGGGGTGAAAGGTTACCGCATCATGTGGGTCATGACAGACGGACTGGTCACAAAGGAGGTGCATTTGCTTCTCTCTGCTTAAAGATAATTTCAGAAACCCAAAGGCTGTTGCCGTCTAATTTGTTCTTTTTAAATGTTCTTCGTCCCTCGAGTCTTTTGTATTAAAATTACTTCTGTCATTTAACCCACTCTGATTGATTCTTTTAATTTTTGCTATATTAAAGTTATCATGCATGTATTTGCTTTCTGCAGGCGAAGGTGGGCCCAATGAATTCGTATGACCTCAGTGACCTGGCGTCCCTCATGGAGTATTCAGTGGCCATCTTTGCTTTGTACAATGAGGGCCAGTCAGAGCCACTGACTGACGGCTTCACAACCAGTAAGAAACCTTCACTGTGCGTCACGACATACATCACTGTTTTTGTAATCATTTATCTGTAGGATATGTTATATCAGTCAATAGTTAAATGAACTCATGTTACATGATAACCTGCATCTATATATACGATTATTTAAAATTATAATTGCAAAGGGAAAAAAACTCCTTGTTTTTTTTAAGTTAAATAAAATAAATGAAAATGTAAGAAGAGTGATGTATTTTTGTATACAGCCCCTAATTCCATGGTTTGCAGAACCCACTTCCACTGCTGGTCTTTTGGATTGTCAACTGGCTTTGCACATTTAAAGCCTCAGATTTTATCCCAGTCATGCCAATGGTCAGTTTTTCTGGACGTTGTTGTTCTGCTGGAAGCTGAACCTGCTGCACCCCAGTCTGAAGTGTTTTGCAGCCTCTTGCAGGTTTTCTTTCTGCACTGGGCTGTATTTAGCTCCATCTATTTTCCTACCTGCTCTGACCATCTTTACTGAAAGAAACCGCATAACACTGTAGGCATACTTGGGCAACAAGTTACATTTTGTTCATCGTTTTGGCCGAATATCTTTCATTCACGTTTGGTTTTTGTGATGCATGGATTGTTACAAACTTTGAACAGGCCTTCTCACGGCTTTAATTCACCAATGACTCTCCTCTTGACATTTTTCCATAAAGGCAAGTTTATGGAGTGCACACAAATGTTGCATGTGAACTCAATTTACTAATTATATAATTCAGAGACAATTGATTTCATTGGATGTTTTCTAGGGAATTAGATTGAAGGAGGCTGAATAGAAATGCACCTCACGCTTTTCAGGATTTTATTTGTGCAAGGAAATGCAACTCTTCAGAAGGTTAAATGATTGTGTTAGCCTTTTTATTTTGCAAAATTTGTGCAATTTTTGGTTGTCATTTCAGTCCATTGTCAAACAACATTTTCCGATTAACTTTTAAAAGTAAGAATCACAGATGTTTATATAACGTAAGTGGCAATTTTTGTAATTGCTTCCACTATTAACAATTTCTCATGCTATCTCTTGTTCTAAAAAAATATTTTAAACTATTTGTAGAGGTTATTTTTCGTTAATGTTTTGCTAATATTTCATCATACTTTAATGAGAGGTTAGTACGTTTCTATACAGTTGGATAACAAAATCTGATTATCTTTTGTTAGAAAATTAGTTCATCTAACTCCCCATAACAAATATTATCACATCATGCTAAACATTTCTCCTAATTACCCATGCTACAAACACTTAGGGCTTTAAGTGTATTTATTTTTGCTATCTTTTTAATTGTTCACTTTATGGCGAGTGCGGGTTTTAATTTGCTGAGGAAAATTTGTCTCAGTTTACAAGAAGCAGCTTGATCAATATCATGAGAACGTTAACAATTTATCTTCTTATACCAAATGGTGCTGGGTTTTATAACCCTTACTGGTCCTTCTGCCATCTTGGCTTCCTGCCAACCCCATTTACACTCCAGCATTATAGCTCAGTCACATAAAAAGGTAATTTTACTGTCCCTTACTATTTCATCTCACTAACGCATATTGATTTGTAGGAATATCCCTGTGAGCTACAAGCAGTTAGCCTTAAGTGCTGCATCAGCTCAAAAAATGTATGTGTGGTGAGCAACTGCTAAAACATGCAGTCTTTTTAAGGCCATATAGGATTTTATTTATCTACTAGCAAACTTTGTTTAATGGACCACGTTTATGAAAAGGGGTTTTATGTCCTGAAATGAATATGCAAGCACTTTAAAATTTGTGGAGTGGAGAAGTAGGTAATGGAGTGGACCAGGAAGATTAGAGTTCACATTAAGGAAGTGAAAAAATAACTTGTGTAAGATGAATAGAGTATAAAATTGATTTAACAAACATCGTCATATAACCTTGCAGCATTATGAACACAACATCATTGAAAACGGCAGCAGAAAGAGAACTTCACTGTTTGTTTCAGCTCCGGTTCCTGGTCCGCTGAATCTGCGCTCCAGTGACGTCAACGCTGGCAGCTTTAAAGTCAGCTGGGATCACTCGGCCACAGACATTGCTCTCTACAGACTCTCCTGGGCACCATTCTCTGGTGGTGACACAAAGGAGGTTAGTAAAAGTGAAATGTGTCCTTTTGAATTGTTTTGTGCTGAAATAAATGTGCTTTAAACTCGCTTTGCCTAAAATCCCATCCAGTACCTTGCACACTCCTTGAGAATGATTTGTGAAAACAGATATTTGACATATTTAGACGGCAGTAGGACCGAGCCATTTACATGCGTTTTGTCAGCAGCGTGATTGATTTAGTCCACTTCTCGTCTTATATGTAGATGAATAAGTGGCTTTGCTGCATATGCTTTGAGAGAGGGAAGTCTCTAGTCCAATGACTTACACAGAAGCTTAAGACCATTACTGGTAGTACAGCTAAAACCCATGGCCTGGTTGAATATGAAAGCTGAATAAAACCAGACATTAATGGCTCAGGTGTTTTATTACCACGATCTGGGGTTTTGAGACAGCTGTGAAGCAATGATAGAGCCCCAGGTTTGTGTGGATGCAGTGTGAGCTTGTGTGTGTAAATGTGTGTTTTCCTCAGAGTCATCAGAGCTGAAAATGCCACCCTGGGGAATTGAAGAGATAAGCTGGGGATACTGACAGCCTAAAGAGAAAGTGATACATGTGGTTTACTCTTTTTCTCGGTCACATTCTTAGCACATGCTCGCACGCGCACACATCCACCAATTAATTTCTTCTTAGTGTTGAATTTGAGAGGTGATTAAGCACAATAAACTGGATGCAAAAGATAGTCGCATAGCTGTAAGGCAGTACTCTCCAACCTTCCTTCCCTCTTTTGTGATGCTACAGAAACACTCCTCCACCCAAAACCCTTAAACCTGCATGGATGCTCATGCATGTGAATGTTGAAATTACCATTCAGTAATTATAAACTATTTATACAGTTCAGCCTCTCTTTATGAAAAAATAAATGTTAGGTTCTTTGTCATTTGTAGCAGCTGCTGCTTCATTTCATTGCAGCAAGGAGTTAAAGGTTATTGATGTGTATAAAGAGACAATAATCGAATTATTAAGTAACAAGTCAGACTTTGAATTGAAGCCTCTATCTCCGATTCTTCTTGCATCTTTTTATAGATAGAAACTTCAATTCCTGTGAGAGTCCAGAGTGGATCAACTCTGGGCGTCTTTCCGTTTTATTACTGCTCTTTATAGAGGAGTTTAGTCACGGTGGCCTCATCAAGCAGACGCCTCCATCATGGAGTGACAGTTTTTGATAGAAGCGATATGGCTCACTGCCTAGGGCAGCTTCATGTCGCAGGGTGATGCTTGGAAAAACAACAAGAGAAAGATGTCATTTGTGCCCTGAACCAGCTTTCTGCTGCTTACTTGAATGTCCAGGAAATAGAGAATGAGGTTCCACCAGATTTGTGTGTCATTATAATACTAACAACTGTGGTTGTGCTAAATGGCAATGAAGTCGATGTGTGGTTTAGAGGGACAAAATTTTTCAAGGATTATGGATGTATTTAATTATTTTTTGTTCAAGATATAATATGCTTTGACTTCTAAGAGCTGCTAAAATATTAAACAGTTTTTAAAAGAGAGTGGGCAGGAGGTGTGTTGTGTAAAATCTAAATTTTGGGCTTTTTGAGCTTTATATCATGTTATAATGTTATTCCCTCATCAAAAACATACCAGAAGTGTTGCTTTCATTCTTTTATCCCTATTTGAGGAATCCTTGAATTTCCCCCATCTCCACTATTCAGGATGCCTAAAAACTTCCTCTCACAAAGCTCCTCCTTGGAGCTGTGGTCTCCTAGCTGAGCCTCTGCCTTGCAGGACTCCTCTACCCCACAGCTCCTACAGACTAGTGGCAGCAGCAATTACCTCATCGTAAGAACTACTTCTCAGCCCAACGCTTCTGAAATCAATTGTGAATGGCATAATAAGAAGCATTATTGTACTGACATTCTGAAGTTGGAGTGTTGGAAAGAGCAGGAGCTTCTTAAAGAGACGGTGGCCAATTTCAAGACGTTAAATTGTGAAGTCAAATTGCTTTAAAGTTACGTTTGATTTATACAGCATTTTTATAACAACTGAAGGTAACGTAGTGAGTTGATTGTGCTATAAAATGGCACTATGTGTCTAGAAAATACATAGACTTCAGGTTAGCATACATATTCAAATCTACACTGATGACAGATTCTGTTAAACAGTTCATATTAAATTTAATATGATTATTTTAAAATGTTATGGAATCTGGATGTTTACCCCTGAAAATATGTTTTTTAAATGTTAGCAAAATCCCACAAATTGTGAATTGCCTTGGTTTGAGAGTCTGTTAAACAATTTTATTCAGAAATGGAGCTAAATTAACTGTCTTGTACCGATGAAAATGAACTATTATATTTAAATGTTTGTTTTTTTATTATTATTTTATCGTAGGTGATTCTGAGTGGAAGTGAGAACAGATACACTCTCGCCGGTCTCAGTCCCTCCACTAAGTATGAAGTCCTGTTAACGGCCATATTTGACGATGAATCTGAGAGCGACACGGTCTCCGTCATAGAAACCACATGTAAGTGTCAACAGATTCACTTTTAACACGCTGCTTTTTAAATGAATCGACTTTTGTCTTTAAACTGCAAAACTCTTCTGCTATGATTCTCATAGCTATTCCCTTCTCCCCATTTTTTTAAGCAAAACTTTCAATTTGTAAGCCAAAGTGTTTTGACATTCATCAAGACATTTGCATTGTTGATTTTTGCCTCATCTTAGCAGAAGGAAATCTCTTTTTGCTAACAGTGATTAGTTAAAGGTTCCTCTCTAATTGGCTTACTTATTGGCACAGGGCATTGTTTAGCAGTAACACATTCTCTGATTTCTACTTTCTGTAATTCTCCAGTGGCTATAACAACAACGATTCATACCACAAAAACAGGTAAGTGCCAAAGGTGGAATTGTGTGTTAATGTAAAACATCATGAGTAGGAGCTTTTTTAATATATATACGTCCAAGCACATCCAACAAGAGGTGACTCACCGTGACACACAATCTGTGCTAAAATCATTCAGAGCAATTTATTTTTTTTAGTTTAGCTATATTTGACTGTATGAACTATTCTTTTATTAATCCTCCCGGCACGTGTCCATGGGCTAAGGTTGCTGTTACTCTAGTGCCATTAAAAAAAAATCAGAAGCAAGTTTTTTGACTTGATTCATTGACTTATATAAAGTAAATGAATCTGTTTGCAAACGAATATGTGCCACTTGTTTAATCTGAAACAAACGGTCAGAAGTTCCTTTAAATAACTTTCTTCCCTGTGAATAAAGTTTTTAACAAAGCATGAATCTGTAAGTTTTGTTTTTGCTCTTGTCATTGTCCATCCCTGCTTGTCGAAATGCTTTTAAAAACGGCTGTTTTAATAATGCTGCTATGGACTTATGTACACTACATTTTATGTTGTACTTAATGACTACTTACCTAATTCATAATTAATATTTGAAATGTTAAGTGATTTGTGCATGCCTTTTGCTTTAAATGAGTAAAACAGGTTTTCTCTGTGATGCCACAGTGACACGTCAGGCTGTGAAAAACCTTCACCTGAGCGATGAGACCACCCAAAGCTTAGACGCATCCTGGGAGCTGGAAGACACTGATGTGGAGAGCTACAGGATTTCCTACACTGACCTCAGTGCAAACCAAGAGGAGGAAACTGTAAGTTATCAATGTTGTGAGCTGTCATCGATGCAGGAAGATATGGACAAAAACAGCATTTGTTGAGGCTGATCTGTGTTTTTTTTTGGTATGTTTTGCGCCCTTTCTGCTATTTGTCAGACATTTCCAAATATGTGTAAGTTTCGTCCTTGTGGGCATTATCACACTGAACCCGATGCTTGTGAATCATTCAGAGACATTTTTCCTGGACAGATCTGAACACCAAGCACATGAAGCAGACCACACTGAAGTAGCGTCTAGAGGAAAACCGTTGTTATTTCAAACCTCCAGCCTCTTGGATTGCACTGCAGACGTCACTTCTGGGTCATGCAGTGCAGCCAGAAAACTGATTACACTTCTAGCTGCAGTCCACTCAGCCTCTTCTCCTGATCCCCCTGTCCCTCTGAAGAGCCCTTGAGCTCAGTGTCATGTACTGACCCTGATCACTAATGCACACCCAAACACGTCCGCACAGGCCTTCCTCCCTTTCTGTCCCCTTGCCTCCGTGTTTCTCTGATTCTCTCCCTCGTGACTTTTCTCTCTCTCCACCTCCCCCTTTCTCTCTTTTAATTTCCCGATGTGGTGTCAGAGCCATGGAAGATGGAGAGGCCGGGCCAAGCCAGAAGACAGCCCATTATCTTTTCTGTAGCCATTTACCTCAGCGGGAGCACAGATGGAGGGCAGCTGAGAAAAGAGGAAAAACATAAGAACTATAAAACACCACTGGAAACTAAAACAGTCATTAACAACATGAGAGAAATGGCTAAACCTGTCTGCTGATAAATAAAGGACGTTTTAAGCTGTAGCTTTAGCCTTTACTCTTTGTGTTATTGAGGATAATGAAAAAATTTGAACAGTGGACAGCTCCTGTCCATGCAGTTTGACATTGTCACTTACTATTAAGTGCTGTTTCCTTTCATCAATACCCTTGTAAAAATCGAAAGCACATTTATTTTCATTTTTACTCAATTAACATTTTTAATGCTAATTTTTCCAAATGAATGAATGCAATGATTTGTTTTACGAAAGCTTGTTCTCTGTTCATGTGAAGCTACATGAAGTGAAGCAACCGCTGTCCGGAAACTTCTCATATGTTGATGTTGATTGGGGGTTGTCCTGTCAGACCGTCAGTTCCTGAAACAACACAAAATATAACTTGGAAAAGCGCATGCATGGTTAGTGCAACCTCTGTGGACTGCACACAAAGTGAAAATCTTGAGAGGTCCAAGTGACTCTGTGACTTAAGGCTGCAGCAGGGTTAACAGAAACTCTGGGCTGGCTGTAATATCTACAAAGAAAGACAGTTAAAATGCATCTCATGCTGTCTAATTTTTACCAAAAATATCATTTAATTTTTCCACACTCTAATGGTAGCATTATACTACACTCACAAGAACTTGATCATGAGTTGTTGTTTTTTTTTTTTTTCACCCCAATCATCTCTCTAATCTACAATCCAGGAGTAAAACCAGGTGCAATGTGGATCTGCAGAACTCCAAATAACTCCTTATATCTTTTATTTTGTATCTAGATATCCGTTGGTGGTGATCAGAAAAGTGCATTGCTGCAGCCTTTACTACCAGACACGCAGTACAAAGTGACGGTCACACCTGTGTACTCTGATGGACAAGATGGCATCAGTGCTTCTGCTTTGGGTTCTACATGTAAGCCTAAATATCCTGAAAACACAAATGCTACACACCCCGCCTCACCAAAACATGCCACGGCAGCGACTGGATGATGTTTAATCAGTCGTCTCATTTTAAACAAGCAGAGCATTCTATGCTAAATTATCAAAGACTTGTTTTAGATTTGATGAAAGAAACTGAAAATTATGGAAACACAAATGCATGAATAATATATGTGAAGTCAGAAACAAAGCTCAGGTTGTGGCTTTCATGGTTATCGTGGTTATGATTGTTTAAACTCAAAGAGCTGGACTTTCAAATCACTAACAAAAAAAGCAATATTTATCGACTCGGTTGGTTTTCTTACCCTACAGTAATTGAGTTTTGCAGATTGGAGCTTTATTACGTACTTTCTTTCATATCCATTATAAATGTTCCATTTAGTCAAGATCAAGACTGTTGCTGGACCTTTCAGTGAATCGATCTGCCTTTCCAGAAGAAATGTTTTACTGTTTGTTCTTATGGGTTGTGTGGCAAAACTATTTATGAATTTTGTATTTGCACTTCGATAACTACAATCCTGATGTGTTAGACATGCCATATTTCTTAGATTATGTATTTTACCTTGATATTTTCTTAAACTTTTTATTAATTTTATATTCTTCAGGAGATCAAATTAATAAATGAAATTCAAGCTTTCTGCTGTTCCAGCTGGCCGCTCTCGTTTTGTCACTAAGTTTCCTGTCGATCAATTTATAGTTTTTGGAATAAATTACTTTTTTTGTTGTTGGGAAGTAAAACAATTCTCCAGGAGTAATAATTTCATATTTTATTGCCCCTAGTTTAATATTCATGCAAGTTATGAATTATTAACCAGTGAGGTTATTTCAAGGTTTCCTTGTTTTCTGTAAATGAAATATGCAGGTTTCAGTTTAGGAGAATAGGCTGAAAGATACTGAAGAATTTTATTTGCTCTAAGCAGAATGCTAATTTGCGCTTCGTACAATTTATGTTAATTTATGTGCCGGATGGAGAATATGAATTAAGGTGATGAGAAATACTGATGCTTTCCTAATTGTCTTAATATGAACTCCTCGTTGTTCCAGCAGCTCCTTAAATAATGAAATGATTAAATTAGTCCAATTGATTCTCTTTACCATTGTTCAACCTTTTCTCTTTTTTTTGAGCAGCACTGATTGTCTCTTTGTTATGCAGTGAAATAAAACGTCAGATTAGACATGTCATATTTTAAGATTAGAGTGCCATAACTAATCATCAGTCAAATTAAACTGCCTTTGTCCCAGACTATAGTCATAAATTACAACACAGACATATACTGTGAGAGCACTTAGAGAGTTTGAGGGTCAAAGCCCCCATAAATCAAGAGCTAAAGAGTTTTACAACCTTGCAATTAGTTTTGTTTGTGTCGGAAAGAAAATGATTCATGTTAGAAACAAAGCTTAGCTATTTCTTCCCCTGGTATTTTTAACCATCCAAATACAGCTTCTAGAAAAGTTTTACTGTTCAGCTTTTCTTTTTTTTTTTTTTTTTTTTTTTTGCAAATATTCCTGTGCTGGTGCTACAAATGAATAACTTCTTTATTGATGTGCTCTGTAAAATCTGTAAAAGGTCAAGAGATTTTTTTGTTTATTTCTTAAACAAATGAACAAACTGGCCACACTGGACGCATGAAGTTGTTTGCTCTCTGCAAAAGACTCAGTGAAACTTGAATTTTAGTGTCTGTTTAATAACATTCAGCATCAAATCTCTGTAGCATTCAAGTCAAGTTCGCCTTTTTGTTTTTGTTGCTTTGGTAGTGCCTCTCTTGTCTCCTGAAAATCTACGTGTGTCAGAGGAGTCGTACAACCGTTTCAGGGTCTCCTGGGATCTGCCTCAGTCTCCGACAGAAGGTTACAGGATTCTCTACCGGCCCATTCATGGTACACGCACGCACACACGCACACACACGCACACACACACACACACCTACACACACACACACACACGCAGACTGAGGTCCAAAGCAGACAGTTTAAAGCTTAAAGAAAAAAAAAAAAAAAAAGCAGTGTAGCACACAAATATGTGCATCCTCTCCACTCTTTCAATGAGACATCATCATTAAATGACCATTTTAGCTGCTCTGCCCTGCGTCTGCTGCTAATTACTTCACCAAGCTATGGATCCAGTGTTTTATAGTTTCCAACTCTGTTTTCAATCACCTAAAAGCAATTATTTTACGAGCAGGTACAGGCAAACGTGCTGCACTGATGTTATTTTAGGAATGTTCAAGGACAAGAAAAGTCCCACACAGACCTTCACTTTTCACACATATACACAGTTAGACTAGAAGAGACTTTTGGTGCTTGTTGGCACAGACGCAACTCAATCTGTATTTTATGAGGATTATTCCACTGGGTGGTGTGTTGGCATAATAACTTTAATTACTTAGTTTTATACATTTTTTTAAAAAAAGCTCCTCCAGGAATCTGTGATATCTGTACTCAGTGGGTTTAGAAATTTCTCTTTCTGCTTTTCAAAAGTAGTGTTTACATGTTCCTGCATTATTTTATACTGATCAAACTAAAAGTTCTGGCCCACTGCTTTTTTCTGTATTTTAATACACGTTTCGTCTTTTTTTTTAGTTCAAAGTCCAGTTTTGGAGACGACAGTAGACGAAGATGTGAACTCAATTCTACTCCTGAATCTTTTAAGCGGGACGGATTACAGTGTCCAAGTGACGGCTTTCTACCAAGCAGGACCGAGTGAACCACAGCTCATTAATGCGAAGACATGTAAGAATTTGACATAGTAATACCACAAGAATCCACAATTTATTGAATTCTTGTGGAAATATTCCCATCTGTTAAATAAGAAGAGATTCCCATTCAGCAGACAAGAAACTGTCAGGTTAGATATTATTGCAAAATAAATAAATAAATAAATAAATATGTATGATTAATTTTAAAATTCAGTGTGAACATGCTGATGGTGAAAATTAAGTATAGTCAAATTGTTTATTTAAATGATTGTGAAATATTAATGCAGGCCAAAACACACCTGGATAAAATGTACAACTTTAGAGTTTAAAGGGATATTTTTTTTTTTACTATGTCAATATATAGATTGATGCTTAAGCATAAATAGAGCAGTTGTGAAAAACGTTGAACATTAAAACATTTGAAAAGTGTCATTTTCCTCTGTGCTCACCACTCTGTTGGTTTATCACACAAATGTTCTTCGAACATAAATAGAAGATTGTGGTTGTAAATATAATGAAATAAGATATTAGGATTTAAACAATATGAAAAACTTCAAGCTGTATAAATTATTATTACGGCCCCTAATATCCTTTGAAACAGGTTCTAATTATTGGAGCAACTTTTTATAAACCTGTTAGTTTTAGTTGTTAAAATAATAAAAAAAAAAAGGTTGCATCACTAAAAAATCACCAGCTGATTTTTTCTTCTTCTTTTTTTTAGTTCAGTTTCATTATGAAAAGACACTGGGACCATTACAGGGACAGAGACCCTGGTTGCAGAAAAAGGAATGTCATTTTAGAAAAGCACAAATGTGTAACATGCATATTAATTGCCTGCTTATACCGAGCAAGCTAATTTCCATTGAGACCTTAGCAAACAGGCTGAAAAGCAGAAGGATATTAATATTTTCCATTCAGAAAGTGAGAACAATCCTTTCTGCATATAGATTTGAAATCAGTGGCTGGAGTAAAACCCAGCAGAGGCTTTTATTTCTCTCATCTAAAACAAAGAGGTGTAGAAATTGAGAAATGAGAAGACTAACAGAGATATTAGAAAGTTAAAGTGATGCTGCATTGCCTGTACAGTACACTCATCTGTCATTTTCAATTATGACAACGTCTTGGTGTAAAACTAATTACATTCCTGCCATTGGTTTAGCATGTCTATGTTTTAGTGTCAATTGCTTTACTCTCTTGGTTTCTAAATTAAATGTAAGCCTTTGTCCGTTTTCTCATGCATTTATCAGTGTTTAGCCGCTGTGTAATTTGTTACTGGCAACGCAAGACTAAATACTTATAATCTGTTGATTGCAATCA